GTTCAGTGCTAAAACGAGGCGAAACGGTGCAAAATGGGCATACTATCACCATGGTGGCGCCTATGCGCCATAAACGACGCCAGAAACAGTGCCAGTCTCGCCCAGAAAACGACGCCTAGGCGCCAGAAACAGTTATGGATGGGTTCCCCAAGGAGTTTTAAGCACCTTTTGGCACTTAGGAAGACATCTTTTAGCATTTCAAACTCTTGGAACTTCCAAGAACGTCCAGAGGTCATAGATATGATAGAAGATGTAAATTTCTACATTTTCTGGAGAGATTGACAAGAGATTTTAAGAGATATTTGAAAGGAATTGTAGGAACCTTGCGTGGATCAGCAAGAGACTTTGTTGGAGAGATTTTCATCTTTCTTTCAGAGAAAAACTAAATATTACGTTCTTCGTTATCTTATAATTGTTGTAAATACTTTTCTAGTGAATTTACTTCGATTTATATTAAGTTTTCTGTTGTGTTTTCTCCATGCTTAGTGAGTAGTTTTCCTTACTCTTTCTTCTTGTGATGTTATTTAATTATGTGTGAGATTAGAATGGTTTGAAGAATTCTTTTATTCCAAAATTGTGATGGTATTTTCGCTGGTTCTTAATTTATTTAAAAAACTGATCACTTGTAATGTTAAAATCTGTTCCAAAACACAATGACCCGGAATGACTATAATTTCACAATCTAGTGAATACCACACTAAACCTTGGATGGAGGGGATGCCACGTTCGAGGGAGAGTGCAAATAGATAGAGAGATAAGTTTTGATGGACATTTAATTGATGGTTCTAGAGTGACGAGCTAGAACCATTATCAATTTGGTCTTAGTTCAGAACCTGAGTCCCTGGTTGGTCCTATAGAGAAGACACAATGGGTACTCTGGAAGTGATAGACTAGAATCCACTCAGCAGAACGATACAATCAAGAACTTAACTTTGAATTAGCCAATGTTCTTTATGCACTCGGGAGGATAAAGAATATGTATGCTCCTATTTATCACAAAACTGCATTTTAACATTTAATATTTGATTCCTACGCTGATTATAATCTCATCACAAGGGGAAAGAGATTTTAATTATATAAGAACTTTCTAAAATTCACCCAGTCTTCTTAGATTTGGTTTTTATTTAATTTAGTTAAATTTAATTTTAGAGTAAATTAATGAATTTAGGAAAACCAAATTTTTAGAAAATTTCAAACTAAGACTTGATAGTAGTAGACTAGAACTTATTCTAAGGGATTTCTTACCCTGCTTCTCTGTGGGATCGATACTGAGGTTCTAAAGAAAGCCCTACATTACTTAAAACGATACATGCACTTGTGTGGAACCCCCAGAGTGTGAAATATAAATCAATTCTAAATTCTATATCATATCCATTTTGCACACTGGCCGCCTAAAAAAATTAGGTCAAGCTTTTGGTCTGAAAACTAAATTTCTGTGTAATTGCGGGTCGAGTTAAGTTTTTGATGTCATTGTCAAGGATTGAAATTGAAGTAATTATACATATATTTACGCACACATTTTAGGGGGGCACGACTGATTGTAGGAAAAACTTAAACTTTTATCGATCAATCAAGATACGTCGGCTGGTTGCTTTTATGCCAGGCCTAAGCCATCGCTTTTCCCTACCTCGTTGATAGATCAGATCATTGCCTCGGCTAGGTTTATCCCATTCGCTAGGTGCGGATCTGATCATCACCCTCGCAGGCAACTCCCGAGGACTTGTCTCCAGGATGATTTGCACTATACTCTTTTATGGATCTCGTTGCTAGTGAGAAGAGAGCAACCTTAGGGAGATTGTCCCTTTCGACCTTAGTGGTTCGTGATTGCGATGCCAAGGTGGTGTGAAAATAGTCATACAATCCATTTTTAGCCGTCGTTTCTTTAATTCGTGCTTTTCATTTGACATATCTGTGTTCGTCGAGTTTTAAAATTGGTAATCCTATAGCGCATCCAATTGAATCAAGTTCCCATAACATGGAAAAATGGTGATCGATCGTTAACAAACCCATGAAGACACTACAACAATGGGTAATCAAAAGGTGTGTGGATGGGCCAACTAGTGTGGGCCAGCCATCTTACCTCGTGTGGGCGACCAAACCCATAAGCATCTAGCAAAATCTCCTCCTAGGGCAAGCTAAGAAAGAAAAAGCAAAGGAGCTTTAAGAATCTCACCAACGTGAAGGTTGTGGATGCATTTCTTCTAGTGGGATGAAGCTCTCCTAACAGTAGGAGAGAAGCCCACACAAGTCCTTTCCCAAAGAAATGAGTAAGCTCACCTTCCCGAAGAGATTGCTGGAAAAGTCGCCAGAGTAGTACTTCTCCAATGCAGGATGACACTCTCCTTACTGGAGAGACAACGAGCTCACCAGAATCCTCCTTCCTCCAAGTTAGGATGAAGCTCTCCTAGTCGTGCTTCCTGGAGAGTTCGTCGGAGAAAGAAGAAACATCAGAGAAGAAGAAGAAGAAGTTTGAAAATGACCAATTACCTTGAGCTTCTCCTTGAGGAAGATGAAGATTCCTCCTTTTTCCTTGCTCCAAGCTCTAAACTTTAAGAAAACCTACTCACACACTCAAGCCGAGTGGTGGAGAAAGATGAAGGAGTTGAGGAAGAGAAGAGGATGGAGGAGATGAGCTCTCTTGGCTTTCTCTCCTTGATGAAGTTGAAGAGTCTTCCTCTCTTGCTCCATCCAAGAGACTCTCTTCAAGGGGAAGATGAAGCTCTCAAGTGCTTTTAGCTCTTACCTCACCAACTCCCCAAAAATTGAAATGAGACGAAGACCCTTGAAAATGAGGAGAAGAAGGAAGCTAAAACCAGCCCTTCTTCAATCCTCTCACAACCTCCCTAAGTTTGCCAAAAAAAGGCTTTGCCACCTCACCTTAGGAGCCTTTAAAAGAGGTAAAATTAACTCCTTCATCTCCTCTCTAAGAAAATCCACCCATAACCAAGAAATCCCTGTAATTTCAATTCTTGAGGGGAGGGTGGGGGGGGCTCGAACTGACGTAAAAATTCTGGAACTGAACTGGTGCCTAGGCACCGCGGTCTTGGCGCCTAGAAGCCTAGTCTGGCGCCCCAACGCTAGGGTTCTTGCGCTTTGGTTCCAAAGGGGTGCTGCCTACTTTCCCGCCTCTCGGGAAACCAACTTTTTTGAGGTGTTTTTTTGGAGCTCTTAGGTGCCCAGTATGGGACCTAGGTGCCATCTTTCCATTGGCTTGGTTTGGAGGCTTCATGTGGTTATTTTGGGTGCCTTGGCGTCTGGGGCTGGCGCCTAGGCACTGGTCTAGCCTCGAAAACGTTGTTTTCACCAGGAGCGTTCGACGAATAATTTTCTCGATCCAAAAACTATGGGAGACTAAATTATGATCCCATAACCTTAAAAAGGAGTATTTTTCTCGTCCATTGATCGATGAATCTGCTACCAATGGGCACTTTGAATTACGGCTCAGGTAAGGCGTTTCAGATCCTAATTTTCTCTTAGCGTGCGTAGGAAGGCTCCGCGACTTCCTTTGACCCCGGGGAGACTCCAAATGGACACAGAGAGACCTCTAGACACCATAATAGAAATTAAACTTGTTTAATGTCCTTAGCAAGCTTGCTTATCGACGGATTTTCCCGGTTGAGGTCGAATCATCCAGACAGAGATCTTAGATGTGTCTCGAGCTATCGGATGCTACGGGTGAGTAATGACTTATTCCGAGCCAGTCAAGTGGACACCCTACTCACCTGACATCAAAAGTTGGCTCCAACAATGCCCAAAGCCCTCATTATTTCTTTCTTGTTCGCTTCATTACTCTCTAGACTGATGCAGTTCCCTTTGCACTAGCACTTCCAAAACTCATCCAAATGATAAATTTATTCCAATTTATTTGTAGAATCAAATGCAAATATGATTCGCTAATTTAGAAGTATTGATTTGGGACTTCATTCATTAAATTTTATGCTACGTGGATTTAAAGTTTTTTGGTAGGTTGTATAATTTCTTGCATGAATAATTTAAAAAATGTTTGAAATCCATCTCACTTGCACTAAATTTGCATTTTGGGCTTAGATCTATTTGTATTTGGCTTATATTTACTTTGATTAATTCTTATGAATATTTGTTTTCCACTAGGTTACATTCACTTAATAAAGTTTTGGCTAATTCGAATTTGTTCAATTTTATAATGGCAAACATTTTGTATTAATATAAACCAAAATTGTAGGCATTTAAAATTTCGATGTTGTGATTACCTCAAAACCTTTTTAATAGTATGCATTATTTTTCGTAATCTAGAATCTTTTTTCTCCTAAATGTTTGAGTGTTGGGCTTAAATTGCTATACATTGACAAT